AAGGCGTCGCTAGGCTTTTTCCAACTCCGTTGTTTCGGCAAGCCATGGCGGTGCTCCAAGCTGTCTTGTTGGTGGTGCTCGGCAACATGTCGACTTTGTTAGTTGTGGTCTATGTTGGTGGTGCTTGGCAACATGTCAAGTTTGTTTTTTCTCTATGGTGTTGCTCGACAATATATCTAAGTGGCATATACTTTCCCCTCGTGTTGAGATGCTCTGAGTCGCTTTAGTTGTTAGCTTTCTGTGAGTTGAGCTGCTAGTTGGGTTATTTCGATAAAATTTGCTCAATTTAGTTCATCTGAGTAAGTAGTGGTGTGAAGCTAAAGTAGTTGTGTGAAGATGATAGCTGTTCACTCAATGTACTAAAGTTGTATATGGGTTGAGTGGTGCACTCTCCTTCAGTTGTAGAGTTTTTTTTTTGCCCTATTTTCACTCAAAATGAACATAATAAGAAGAGAAACTATGAGTAATTTTGATTAGTCGTATATACTAAATCCCATCTTTTAACACTTATGTCTTGTTTGGCCTCCTTTGGATTGCATAACAAACATAGCAAAGTCATAGATATTGTATTCCTATAGGAACAGTTACTGTTCACCCCTTTGGTTTGTATGAATAGGGCAAAAGCATGACATAGGAAACCTCCCTTTGCAATCAATTTTTCTTCCGTCTCCTTGCCTAGGAAACCTTTTGTTACCTAGTGTTGAGCCATTTGTTATTTGGTTTGGTGTTGTCTACTTCCTCTTAATGAAATACGTGCTACACAGCACGTTCGAGAAAAAAATCAATTTTAGAGGAAAAGTGCAAGAAGAAATAATCCACTCCAAGCTCTTTGTTTCTCTCTGTGTTGAATCTAGGAAGATTCCTATGTGTTTCCCTGGGCTCATCCAAACAACATCTCCAATAAAAATCCTATGTTTTCAAATCTTTTGTTTTGCATATGGATCCCTATCATGAGTGGCAGATCCAGGTTTTGCTCGTGACTAGGGACTCTACCTAACAACGAAAATTATCTATTCTATATCTACCCATTGGTGAAAACTACCCATTAGCATCACAAGTAGAATTGACTAAAATGAAGGTAAAATTTATGATAGATATGATGGTTGAACCGGAACCGTTAAGAACATTGCACAATTTTCAATCCAATCCAATTGAATAAAAATTGATTAGAGAAAGAAAATCATATGTTATCCTACTCATACTAGGACTGCATGAGCAAGATCGAGGGGGGTGAGGCCATAAGGACCTGGACTGAACAGTGGCTGTCTAGCTGGCCGTTCATAGTTCATCGACCAGGAACAGGAAAAATCGAGAGTCGCGACAAAGGCGACCAGCGTGCGTGCCCCCTCCGCACATGGGCCGTGACACGGTGCCCCGGTGGTGGTGGCGATGTTGCGTGGCTGAAAGGTCCTAATGGCTAGAGGGGGGGTGAATAGCCTAATAAAAATTTCTACAACAACACTTAACCAAATGGTTAGACAATTAAGAAGCTAGTGTTGCGCTAGCCTACTCAAAATGCAAGCCACCTACCACAATTCTAGTTTAGATAGTGTCAATTGGCAATGACATGTTGTGCTCTCAAAGGCTAACTAAAGGCCTGCAAGCTCTTCTTAAAGGGCTTGTCTAGAGATTTGGGACCTTCATGTTAGGATGGGAGAAGCAATCAATCGCGAAGATGAATAACAATTTTTACCGAGGTTCACTTACTTGCTTGAAGCAAGCTCCTCCTCGTTGTGGATTCACGATTGGAGTGTTCACGCGCTAATTGGATTCACCAAACCCTCAATAGGGTGAGACAACCAACACAAGATGAGGGAAGCCACAAGCAAGAATTGATCTCACGGATCAAGAACCCGACAATAATATAACGGAGACAAGCAAGGTGAAGCAATTTTTTAGCCGTCTAGGTGGCGGCAACCACCTAGTGTATGGAGACAATCACCAAGTCTCTTGATGCCATCTCAATTGGCATTTCCCAATCTCACTATGATGATGAATCAATGATGGATGAGTGGGATTCACAAGCTCTATGTCAATGAAAATGTGCAAAGTTGTCCCTTGAGCGGCCATGGGGCTATAAATGGAGCCCCCATCAAATAGAGCCGTTATACCCTTTCCAAATGGTCCTCGGTCATCGACTTGAGGCGCTCTCACCACGTGTCGGAGAGAAATAGAAGGTCAGTTCTTACTTCACGGAAGCATGGCCTAGTGAGAGTCAAACATAGGGGTATGTCAAGTCCTTGGGAGCAGCCATGACGGTCGGCGTCCATTTACGGATTCGCGACACAGGAGAGACCCTCAACCGATCAACCTAACCTCACCCTTGATCGCACCAAGGGGCAATAGAAAATAGACATTTACCCATTGAGCTCGGCGGGCGAGAGGGACCCAAACCCATCGCCACCGCAAACAGGATGTGTTAGCATATTTTCACAAATATTTTCAAGGGTGAGCATTCCACTAGATCCTAAATGCATAGCCTAGAGCATCTAGTGGCTTCCGCATTTGGAGTTAAGACCCTGGCTATCTATCCTAAATGGCATCCCACTCACTAAGTGTCTTGATCACTAAAACGGTACCCCTTGAGCTCGCTTCTTTTCCAAGTTCAAGCATTTGATCATCACCATGCTATCACCAGGATCAGGAATCCAATGCCCCTTGGAGTATGCTACCTATCTCATAATCATCTTGATAAACTAGGTTAGCACTTAGGGTTTCATCAATTCACCAAAACCAAACTAGAGGCTGGGACCCTAGTTCTTTCTTTTCGATCGAGGATTTGGGACCTTCATGTTAGGCTGGGAGAGCTCCACTGCTTGATTCTTCAGCTTCGCTCCTTGATTCTCTGATTGGAGTGATTTCATTGGATTCCAATGAGAGAGCAGGGTGGGAAGCTTAAGAATTGATCCTCTACGGATCCTGACATAATATAACAGGAAGCAAGGTGAAGCAATTTTTTTAGCTCCCAGCTCCTAGTGTATGGAGAAGTGATTCTCTCTTGATCCCATCTACAGTTGGCATTTTGAGCGTTTGGCTGGTTGGGAGTGATTCTCTACTGAGAAGCTGAAGCTGGAGCTCTTCCAAATGGTCCCTTACTGTTGAGGCGCTTCAGGCGGTCAGTAGAAATAGAAGGTCAGTTCTTACTTCCTGGAAGCATGGCCTAGTGACGAGAGTCAAACATAGGGGTATGTCAAGTCCTTGGGAGATAGACCCCCGACCGAGAGACCCCTCAACCGATCCCGCCAGGATCGCTCGGGGGCTATACCCATTGAGAGCGTACCCTTCGCCCAAGGATCAGGCTGAGCCCGAGCACGCCCTTAGCCTCTGCTCAGGGCTTCCGGGCTTGGCTAAGACCCTGGGCTCCCGACCGACGGCAACCCGAGCCTGGTCCCCGAGCTCGCCCTCAGCCCAAGCGAGTGCCCGGATAGGAATCCAATGCCCCAAGCATCACCACTCGGCCCGCCGAGCACCCAAGGCTCGGGGCTCCTCAGTATCGCCCCGACTGACGGGTGCGCGGCGCTGTCGCCCACTACTCCGATAAAGTCACGCAAGTGGCGTGACACAAGAAGACAACTCCTGACGGTCAGAGCGTCAGGGCCAGAAGAGCCAGGCAGCGCTCGAAGCTCCCCCGACTCGACGACAACGCCAGAATCCATCCACACTGCAGCAACACTCTCCTGCACTCCGACGCATGTAGACCATAGACTCAAAACCCTTGAACCGCCTTATACCCGACCTTCCTCGGTCTATAAGGGGGAGGTCGGATCCTATAGAGAGGGGAAGGACGAGACTAGAAAGGTTAGAGGCAACACAAAACAGAGGAACTCATTCGGCAGAGAGGAAGGACCGAGCATTCCTCCCCACGGTAATCCCGTGAGAGAGAGAGGCGTTCTTCTCCCTCGTCGGGGGAACCAACCTCACCACCGACGAGACTAGGATAGCACCTGAGCGACCCATGCCAAATCTTTCTCTCTTTCATTGTAACCCCCTCCCATTTGGGTGCTCTCGAATACAAAGAACAACCACTGCTAGACGTAAGGCTCCGATAGCCTGAACTAGGATACATCGCCGTGTCTTTTCTTGTGTTCTTGAATCCACCTAAGCCACTAGAGACCCACACTCAGTGACACCCGGTGAACAACGATGCTTGCCAGGCAAGGAACCCGCCACACCTCACTACTAGAGGCGCAAGAATGGCCGACGGTTATTAAACCGTCGGCCTTTAATTTGTACAATTGCTGAGCGTATACCGTCGGGAAGCTCCCGTCGGGCATCCATGGTCGGGCATTCTCACTTTTACGGATCGGTAGTCAGCTATTGTATGGCTGACTGTATGTTTCCGACGGTTGATGCTCGGCAATTAGTTGGTAAACACGTCATTCGGCCTTTGGTCCGACATGAATTGCCGAGGGTTTCCCGGTCGGGGATTTGTTGCTTGACAGTTTTTTTAAACCCACCGGGAAACATATCCAGTCGGGGATTTGTTGCTTGATAGTTTTTTTAAACCCATCGGGAAACATATCCGGTCAGGGATTTGTTGCATGATAGTTTTTAACCCATCGGGGAAACATATTAGCAACGGTGTTTATTAATCGTCTGGAATTAAATACTCTTGGTAGAATATATATGTGAAGGTTTTGGTTTCCCACCGGTTAAAACTATTAAACCATCGACAATATAGATATGAAGCTGTTTTATTATAATCCATCATCCGATATTGCTTGGGATATTTTTATAGCCGTAAATAATTAATATATGTAACCAGGAAGATCAATTACAAATGTTGAACATTCACAATTCATGACATTTCATAACCAGCTCTTTAATATTGAAAGGTACGGTCTAGACATTCTGAAAGTTTCTAATAACATTCTTCAACATTACATAAATTAATGTTCAAATTAAAATACTTGACTAAGATACTGCTCTGCTGTTCACAAGGCATAAGAAAAACTACTTAAAAGTGCCACACTGCATATGTTGCATATAATCTCTTCTCATCACCAGGAAGCATCATCATCGAAAAAGTCTTCACCATTGTTCTCGTAATTTTGGCCATCATCTTGGGAATGGTATCCTTCATCATCATAATCATAGATGTCATCTTCATTTTCCTCACCACTATAGTCTGCTCCACCAATGTTATCCTACAGAAGTTATAAAATTATTTTTATAAGCATATGAACCAGCTTGAATATATATAAGATAGATTTTGCAATAATTTCAGGTATGGCACGGATACATTTGGAACACACTTAATACTTACATGATCAGATGCATTAGGAACAATTTTCTCATGCTCTCTAGCGAATGCAACCTCAGATTCAGAAGTAGGCTGCATGTCATGCATATATTAGTTTATACTTTGAAGGTTAGTTTTGCAATGAATTGAGGTGGGAAAAATAAAATTCAAATCTGAATCAACTAGAGTGATGCTTGAGTTCATTGTAATAATTTGTGCTCTGTGAGGTAGCTGGTAAACTTACCAAGTTAGTTGCAGTTTACTGAGCTAATGCATCAAAGTCCATTCCTTGTTTAGCAACAAGTGCCTGTTAAAACTTCATGGTTAGCCATAGGTATTTATTTGTACGCATATATTTATTCTAACAATAATTACCCGCACAACATGTTCAAGGTTGCTATATTCTTTTCGCAACAGCAGATTTTCCCTTTCAAGTCACTTCTCTTTAGAAGAAACATATGGTTGTGCACTTCTTTTCCTTGTCTTGATTGCTTCCTTCTCAGCAATACTAATTGCTCCATCACCAATTCCTAGCTTACCATGTGGCATTCTACCTGCACACTCATAAATGACACTTGCATCTAATTCAGGATGCTCAATTTTCCAATTCATGCCATACTTTTTTTTCCATTCCTTCCTCATATTGTGCCTTTTCCAAAAAAACATAGAAAAGCTGAAGATCAGTAACAAGACAACTACAAGAGCTATCAACTAAATAATCCAACACTTACCCATTTATCAGCTACATTCTGGTTGCACAACCTGCCATCATTTGCCCCTAGATTCAATTCATGATTATGCAGCCAAGCGCCACCAATTCCAGGGTCAACGCCAGTTTTTAGTGCCTGCAATTAAAGTGTAAGTATGCTTTGACATGTATTGAACATTGTACATCAGTAGTTTATGAAGTCACAACCTTTTGGTTTGGGTTCTTACCGGCCATTGGCGTGTTGCTGGTAAGCTTCTTGAGCCACTGCGATGGTATACGTTATTATCTCCAACTAGGCGATTTTGCTTTGCCTTTAAGGATGACTTTCTAAATTTTGATGTACTCCAGTGCTCACATAGCAAAGCCCAACCTTCATTGGTTGTAAAGTCTCTTGGTTTAACAGATATAAGTGCTTCTTTTGTTGGCCAACGATTTCCATATTCATCTACATCTTCTGGGGGCACATTACCATCCTTATATAGTTTCTTTGTGATAGCCCGCTTCTCTTCACTCAACATCTTAGGCACCATGTTTTTAAATCTTAACTCCAAGACAGCATCTGCCTCAGCTCTATCTTCTGGAAGACACTTGAAACGCCACTGCCATATTATTTATAGTAAGTTGTAGTTGAGATAACTTTTAAACAATAGCAAAGCTAGTTAGTAAGCTGTAGTTATTATGCACATGTAGCACATACCCAGAACTCTTCCAATACTCTCTTATCAGTTGATACCCCAGCTATGGTAGTCTTCTTGAAATCTTTCCATGTTAGCACTGACTTCATCCCATTTATTGTATCAACAAAATCTGGATACATCTCGCGAACTAGAGCGCCAATTACTGTTGGGGGTTTGCGAGAACTTTGATAAGGATGCACTTCCCGGTGCCTGATAATTTTATATTAAATCAAACGACATCATCATATAGGGATAAAAGATATAAAATACATAAGTGAAATGTTAAAGTAAGCAAAACATCATGGAACCGATCAGTACTGAAAACTCCTACCTTACATAAATGTGGAAAGTTAAAAATACAACATTCTTTATTTAGTCTTTGCAAGCTCTTTAAATAAATATGCTGGTGCATCCAACTATCTACAAGCAAGCTAGTGCACTAATGACATGACATTGTTCTCTATCATGGACAAACTGTACTTGCTAAAAATTAATCTGAGCAATGAACACTTGAACACAAAATACTGAGACAATAGTCTATGTTAATACACAAGCGATAGATATAATATGGACACATAATTATACAAATTAAAGCAGCTACAATGTTACTTACTCTCCAACAGCCTTGATCATGGGTCTTTCTCTTTCTGGAAGTCTTTCACCGCTATCAGTCCTTGATCGAGTATTTTTTTTCTCAATAGCTTGCTGACTTGCTGAAGCCAATCCATTATTTTTTGTTGCAGCAGCTGATGTGGAACGCACTGACCTTGATGATGACACAGGTCTGTGCTTCAAGCAGCCACTCATCCTGCTTCATACATGGCAATGAGTATGTTGCATAAAATGTTTATTAAACAGAACGAGTAGGCACCAATAAAATTAGGGGATACACAAGTAAAATAAGTGAAGTAAATCATCAGTCAAACAAGGATGCACCATATTTCAGATTGGGAAGACATATTTCTAGTTCAATATGAAAGCTAAATAATAAGATACTAATGTACATATTAAAAATAAGGATTCAATAATCATCATAATCAAATTCTAAGGAATCATCCGTGGTTTTCTCATCCTCGTCAATGTCTTCCAAGTCGCTATTTTCTTCAACTATTTGTTGCTCTTCGTCACTACTACTCCCATGATAAGAAATGTCATCCAATGGATCCTCAGTGCTGTTTTGCTTTTCTATAGTTTCAATATCTTGGGGATCAAGGACATCATCCAAGGCCTCTGAAGACACAGTTACATCATCAAACAAGCCATCAACATCAATGGAGAAGCTTCCCTGCAGCTCATCCTCTTGGAAAAATACATCCGTAATAGGTGGCTCATGTGCATCTACTGTGTCAAGGTTGGTTAAGGTCCTTGGTTGGATCTTGTAAACAACAGACCAATCACACAAATCACGCCTTAAAGATGGGTACTGCAAGTAGTATACTAGTGTGGCTTGGTGAGCCATGGCAAAGGGTTTAAAATTCACCAGCCTTGAAGATGGCTTGACGTCCACCAAACCTAATTTTGGTTTAGATCTAAGACCAGAAATTGGATCAAACCAGCGGCACTAAAAGAGAACCATTTCAATTTTTCTACCAGCATTAAAAGAAAGTTTGATAATGTCCTCGACTACACCATAATAGTCAAGTTGTTGATCATCTGAGGTGAATGATGTCAAACAAACCCCTGTGTTCACTGTGGTCAGCTTTGCACGGGAGTTTTCATATCGCTCTGACCTGAACCTATAGCCATTAACATCATACGAGCTATATGATAGTACTTTTGCATCCATTGGCTAAATTCCACAAGTCTTCATCTGCATCGGTATCCTTTCTACACTATAAAAATAAATAAGTCTGTTAGAATATATATATATATATATATATATATATATATACATGTGTTCATGAAATACGGCTAAGGTAATATGTCCTTACAGTTTTCTTAAACAAATCCACAAATTCATCTATCATCATTTTGTCAAGGACCTCCACTGACAACCTAGGGTTATTAGCACGCTTCTATTCCATAAATGCCCTACAAATATATACAAGTTATAGAACCTCTGCTAGAACAGTTAAAAATTGTTATTTGCATCACTTACTCTTGATAACGATCAATTGGTCAAAATATACAGCCTCGTTGCATTCAATTCTTGTTATGAGAGGTCACGAGGCACGCCCCTACCATGAAGGGTGCCTTGATATTGGAAAACATCTAAAGTGCAGCCATCATTCTTCACGTGTGTTCCCCTACTGTTGTATCTATCAACCTTTTTCCATCTAGTACGAACATGGTCAACAAAATATCTAGAAAAAGTCAGTTATCTCTTTCACAATCTCAGCCTCTACAATATAACCCTCAACTCTAGCTTTGTTCTGCACTTTCAGGCCCAGGTCATGCATGTACCTAGCAAAATATTACTACAATGTTTAGTGATATAATAACAAAAAAATTTGAATCGAGCTGAACTAACTTATTTAGAAAAATTAATAATTACCTCTCATGTTGGTACATCCAGCGAAATGCCACAGGTCCGCCAACCCTTGCCTCATATGGAAGATGCACAATTAGATGTTGCATTACATTAAAGAACCCTGGTGGGAACATTTTCTCTAGCTTGCATAGAAGAACTGGAATCTCCTTCTCAAGTTCACGCATTCTCTCTCGATCAATTTCCTTGGCACATATTTGTCGATAAAAAAACACAGTTCTGATATATCCTTCCATTCCTTCTCAGGGATGAAACCCCTAAGTGCAACTGGCAGTAGGCGCTCGATGATTATGTGTAAGTCATGGCTTTTTATACCAATAAATTTCTGCTTATCCAACTTTACAGATTTACTTAAATTGGCAGCAAAGCGATCTGGGAACTTCAGTTGTTTGAACCACTCGAAGATAACCAATCTATCATCCTTACTAACACAATATTTTCCCCTCGGTTTTGTCCATGTGCCATTGGGCTTCTTAATCAAATCAAAAGTTGGGCGATCACAAAGCATAGCCATGTCAAGACATGCTTTAATATTGTCCTTAGTTTTATCTGAGATATCTAGAGTTGTGCCTAATAGTGCCTCTGCAACATTTTTCTCATTGTGCATGAGATCAATGTTATGTCGGAGAAGCAACTTTTTCCAGTATGGCAATCGCCACAAACAACTAATATCTGTCCAATTGTGCGACTTCCCAAACCCTTTATATTTATTGTTACCTTTGCTATCAAGAGTTAGATTATTTAACTGTTCCAATATCTCAGCACCAGTTAGGTGCTTTGGTGGAGGATCTGTAATTCTAGTTTTCTTTCGAAAACACTTCACACTTTTGCGGAATGCATGGCTAGCTGGAAGAAATCTCCTATGGCAATCAAACCAGCAAGGTTTGTGCCTAGTCATCGTATTCTTATTGGGCCATCATTTATGGGCTATAAAATTATATGGGATATAAGGTGCTACTGGACCTGGTCCACTCCTATCATAATCCTATGTTTTTCTTGTATCTATACTTTTGCGATCCTGTGTTCCAAAGGATAGGTTTTAGTCCACATAAGAGTATGGGTTGATACACTAGTTAAAAAGAATCAGCATTCTAAGTTAAAAGGAAAACATCTAAGGAAACCAATCCCACCCAACCAGCAAACATGGACTAAAGAGAATTCTACAGAATTCTGACACAGCGCCCCACTGGCTGAACAAAAAAGGAGTAAATACTGGACTCTTTGTTCAGTGAGATACAATACCCTTATTGTCCATACATAGTGATCAGTAACTCTACTTCGTTTGTGGTCCAATTTTACCTTGTTGTCTCTGAGAGTCTGCTTAATTCAGTTAGTACAATACGGCCGGTCACAACAGCACCAATTAACTAAGAAGGACTTCAGTTCAGGCTATCTGATTCCCTCAGCCGGCCTTCCTTGCTCAAACCTACATCGTCTGCTTTTTTTAGATCGCGTCATCGTACTCGCCACATGCCTCGCGAGTAATTTAGCACCTAAGATTCCTGCTACGCATCAGACTATTCAAGCCTTCCCGTGTTAGCCACGCGCCTCGGATTAATTTAGTACTGAGGGTTCCATCACGTGAGCTGGATACAGCTAACTTGGTCACTCCTCTTTTAACCCAGTGGCACTAATTAGTCCATCCTTGACCGGGAAAAGTTTCTCTCCTCATTGGCGAATGCTGGACAGCCCAGATGGATTAGGTAGGAGGTTTCACCAAGTGTTTGTGATTATAAATAGCTGAACCCCTAGATGTGTCCTCCACCACATACCCATTTCATAACACGCAAACCTTTCAGAGCAAAGAGAGAAGAGAGCTGGCGTCAGAGTCGCATACCTTGGTATCAGAGAATACAAGGTAAGCACTTAAAGTAGCATAAGAAGCACACCTATTTTGAGGTGTTCAAGTTTTGGTTTCCTTGTAGACTTTTTTTCATATCACAAGTGTTTGCTGTGTCAAAAACCAGCATATATAAACGGCATATTTGTATTTGAGCTGTCTGTAGTTTTGTTTTCTTCTTTGATCTTGTAGCTAGCATACTTTATTTTCATACCACAATCATTGAAACTAGCATGTTCGCTTGTTGGTATTTTTCTCTCACAACAAACCAGCACCAGCCGAGGTTCGTACATGAGTTCCTTTCCTTTATACTACATGGTTGTAAACATGCACTGTCGAAAGTCCTGATGCCTTGCAGAAGAAAACAGCAGTTCTTAACTTCTTATTAACATCTGATATTACCAAATGCAGATATCACAAGGACAATAACCGAATCTTAATAAGGTCGTCTTCCGCAGCGGCACACCATGCAGCGGTGGACTCGCAACGGGATGCTGGACTTCTCGCAGCCGTCGGCGTCATCCCCGTACGGCTTCTACGACGCCGGGCAGGGAGCGTCGAGCAGCCGCGGCGGCAGATCACACGGGTGCCGGAGCCAGGACAAGGAGCAGCGCAATCTGGAGAAGAACCTGACCAAGGTGCGCAAGGAGTGGATGAAGGTGAAGGAGGAGATGGGGTACGCGAGGCTGCTGAGCGAGCACCTCAGCGAGACGGTGACGGAGGCCGACCGGAAGGTGGCCGCCATGCTGCAGGAGCTCGACCGCACGGACAAGTATATGCAGGACATACTGTCCTCGTCCCAGCAGAAGTGAATTAGCCATGGTGATAGATGCTTTTTTTTTTTGCCTGATATTTGTGTGTTTAGCTAGCTAGCTACTAGAGCTTCCTCTTTGGGGCATTTTGCCATTTGGTATTGTAGTAGATGTCCAGGCCGGTATGGCCGGCGTATGTGTACATCGTATGTAGTTGCATTTCTGTTATACGTACTATATATGTTATTCTTCAATTCGTTAATATAAAATATTATTTCGATTTCATTTCAGTGCTTGGTTATTATGAGTTTCACCTTCAGTCTTCTAATAGCTTCGCTAAATTTAAGGCGCAAAACCAGTGACTCATCTTAGTTACTCATCCCTTTATACCCTTCAAGTGCTGCAAGATGTATGCGCAGCTACTGCATTTGACATATACTAATCCTGATGTTGTAGGATGATGAACAGCCATGGCAGCATATATCATCGTAATAGGGCCAGTCTTTCCTTCCAGCATCGAGCGCGTGCTGAGATGTACCTTGGTCCTTGGGTGCGACGATGCAGTCGTCGTCGACGTACGGTGTGCCCTATCTGTACTACATGGGACGTACTCGTCGTACAAGCAAAAACTGAATGGGCCCGGCCAGGCCCTATTTTATTAGCAAAAGCACACTTGGCGTACGCTAGGAGCTAGCGTTTAGTCATCTGTGGCAGCAGCATGCAGGAGACGACGAAATCTTGCGTCGCATTAGTTTACAACTAATTACCCACTTGGGGAGGCGCCTGCAGTATGAAATCTCAGCAACAGCGGTTTAGGTTTCCTAATCCGGTGGGCGGTTTGCAGATTATGTCAGGCCTGACGTAACCCCTGACGCTCTCGCATCACAATCCACATCACACAGACACAGGTCAGGTGCCATTGCCAATGGGCGTGCCAACTACCAACCAAGCTGAAGCCGGGGGCGCGGCAGCTCCTAGTTTAAACCCAAGCTGGGCACCTCAGCAGATAGAGACGGGCTGTGAATTTACTTGGGCTCAACTTGATAGGGACGAGTCCATCTTGCTAGTATGTCTCAGACTCTCAGTCTCAGTGTATGGCTCCTCTTTGAGCGAATGTACGGCCCAGCGCGGACCAAGCAGCTGCGATGATTATGTTCCGAGCCCAAAATCTCTCGTGGGCTTGTTAGCTTAGGCCTCCAGCTCCGACTTATTGCTTCCGCTAAAAAAAAAAAACTCCGACTTATTGCTGCTCCTTGCAAAGAGTTCCAAGAAGGCGGAGCCGTTTTGTATAAGGAAGTGCAGTCAAAAAAAAAAAATTCTCCTCATGAACTTGATACAAAACTATTACAAAGTTGCCATTGGGACCATTTTTATAATATTTTTAAAACGGCTTCAAGAGAAACTGCTCCACAAGATGAGCCAGAACCGGAGCCGGAGCCCAAACAGAGCTTAATAAATCCTCTAGGAAAGACTGCACAAAGAAACCGAAGGTACGAACTTGTCCAAATGGCACAAACTAATACTAAAATCATCATTATAACTTATAAGAGTACCTCTTTTTTTTTAAAAAAAATAGCTTTTATTCTAGTCTCTGCATAAGTTGTGCACTCAACCAAACAGAATTAAAACCTCTTTGGTCCCTTAAAAAAGATCATAAACATTAGTAATCCAAACAAGACCAAATTCACTGACAGAGCACGTACGGCCACCCTGGGCAGCCGGCCGGGGCTTGTCGGTGAACTTGAAAAGAAAATTTTCTTTATCTTAAAAAAAACACTATAATTTATTACGGAGTAGGTAACTTTTTACTACATAATGAAGATCGCTCGGGCTAAAAAAAACCTTATGGCTCCACCACGGACCAAATTATTAGCACTAGCCTACCACCTTGTGAAAGGGACATCGCTTCCAATGTTTCAATCTTATTTCAAATATTTCTTCAAATATTTTTCAATCCTTGTTATTTAATTTACTAATTAACGTGCATAGGGAACACCCATGTATCGAAATGGGTATGAGCTGAATTTATATCCAAATAGCAGAGGACATTGACTTGTGCTTACCGTGGTCCATATACTGTAGACTAATCATCCTCTTTCGCTTAAAGCGAAAATGGCTACTCCCTCCGTTTCAAATTATAAGACGTTTTGGCTTTTATTGTTTTGCTATGCACTTAGATATACACTATATCTAGTAGGAAAAGAAATATATCTAGAAAAGCTAAAACATCTTATAATTTAGAACGGATTGAGTATTAACATATACCACTAGGGACCTGCATATTCGTGAACACGTCACCAACGACAGCGGCATCCGGCTACTGGCTCTCGTGACAGAAACATGGCTTTTGTCCTATGTTTCCGCCATGCAACTTCAGGAAGACGTGCCGAGTGCGTGGCCCCGTACCAGACCATAAAAAAAATCATGTACGGGAGAGAACTGAACTCGCAAATCACAAGTCAGAGACAGCGCGTGCGAGCACAAGAACAAAACAAGAAAGCAGAGTATCTGGTTGCTGGCAGTAAGAATTGGCAGCCGTTCTGCCAAGAAAAATGCGTGCAAAACTTGGTAAAATTCGCGGATTTCATGCGGACGCGAGTGGGGCAGAGTGCAGGCCTTCAAGTTGGCGGCGTTATGGGATGCTTTTGTGTGGTGGCCGCCGAGCTGAGCACGCGAACGTCCAAATTTTGGATGACTATACCGGGGCCAGGCCGCCTAGGGGCGGCCATGCACGGCCACTCGTGGTCGGAACTCGGAAGTGTGGAGACGTGGCCGTTTCGCCGGCACCATTTTCATCCTATCTACTCCATTTCTCTGTTGCGAAGCTGCGATGATTCGATTTTGTTATTCTTTTTGTCCACCAAATTACACTGTTTCAGCGTGCTGCGGTGGAACATAAACCAAAGTCAGTAAAAAAATCCCATAATACACAGGCTTCAGTTTTCTTGCTATTACCATTGCAAATGCAAAATAAAAGAGGTGGGTATTGAAGTCTCTCCTAGAAGTTCTATGGCCAAAAGCTCGGGTTCGTCACAGCGCAACCAATGTGATGCTACGTTTTTTTAAAAACGGAATTTCATCATGAATTTTGTCATTAAAAAGTTCTTTACGACAGGTAGCGCTTCTACCGTGACGAAAGTGGTTCGTCGTGTATGTTCATATTTCTACTAGTGAGTAGATGATATGAGAAGTCATCCTAAAGTCTTCTCTAGAACAATTGATTGCTACCTTGTTGTATGTGCCAATATCTAAAAGTAGTAGAGTAACGGATCTTGAATTCCTGTGCATAAATTTGGCAAAGGTTAGTTACCGCCAAACATCCTTAATAGAAAACTTGGATCGTATTAAGAATTTCGCAAATCCTTAAACTAAAATATAGAATTATGCAATCTATTTCAGGCTACTTATTACTTGCGATTGTTGTTATTAGAGAACATGGGATACATTCATAATTGCTAAATTCACTGAAAGTGTGAAATACAACTATACAACATCTATTATATATTCAAAATGAATCAAAATGTCTCACATGGAGAACTTGCCTTTAAATATATTAGAGGTCTTGGAAACCATGGCGGTTTAGAGCACATTATTTTCTTCGAAAGTACAACTATAACCCTGCAACATAAAATTAGCTCGATTGAGAAAAACATTGAGAAACAACATGAAGAGCTATTTTGGCAAACTTTTGTCCTTCGTTATTTTTGGGTGCTTTCCTTTCCGTTGTAAGTTTACATCACCATCTTATCTTTGGTCAACTTTTATATGTGTGTATATTATCTCCGTCTTTACTTATATTTTTTTGTCCAATAGGTAGTCCAGCACTCTCTAAGGTTGGAGATACAAAAACCTACCAAAATAGTCCTACCGACAAAACATTAGAAGCTTTTGTGCTGAGGAACACATCGGTACCTGAGACAAAATTTACGGTCAAATTCTATATATATATATATATATATATATATATATATATATATATATATATATATATATATATATATATGGGGAGGTTGACTGCTATTACTGTATGAACAAAACGCCAATTCGTTGCTACTTTTCAATAGCTGATTGTAAGGTTATGTGCCCTGCATACAACCCTGTGTGCCCACCATTGCCACAGCCTCAAACAGGGACCATGGAGGGTCATCTATAATCTTTCTTATGGTCTATCGTTAATGGAGAGCAAATAATTAATGTGATGGTGTTCAATATATATAATAATTGTGGTTTGATCTATAAGGTAAGGGTTTGCAATATGTAAATGCCTAGGATCCCATCAGTGACTAAGTGCTTTGGCATAAAATCTTTTGAACATATTGTAAGTGAAATATAAGGTTTCATACGAGTCTAGTCCTTGCCTACAAGTAAACACAAAAGCAACAAGATATCTACTGTCAACAACTAGCACTACTCTGGAACCTTCATCACAGATGGGATGCAAGGCCACAACGTCGTTGGTTTTTACCCTCGACGGAGATAATTGAGTTTATAACCGTTGGTTTGCAACCGGAAGTGATAAGTTGAAATCACCGTTGGCTTTTGTAACCATGCTATAGTGAAAAGTTGATAGGGCGGTGAGGATCAATTTTAAAAAAACGGCTAGGGAGGCCACAGATGCCTTGCATGATGTTTCTAATATGTGCATTCTAGAAGGTTTGTTCAATACCCGCCTCCCCCAAACATAACTTGCAAGTATCCTAACGAAGTTGATAAAGATGATATAATTAAGACTTTATTTCTGTCCTAGAAATCCCTGAAGAGAATTTCTGTCGTAGATGAATGGAGTGACTTTAGAGATCTATCCCAAGAGGAATGGGATGAGAGATATTCTTTAGAAAGGACTGTTCAACAAATTCTCACAGATGAGGAAACACAATGGCAAAGAAGAGGTGGAGAGAAATGGCTTATTGCTGGTGACTCAAACACAAGTTATTTTCGTAAGTGTGCAACTGGCAAAAAGAAGAAAATGTATATTACAATGCTTGAGGTAGATGATCAACCTGTGGTGGATCCTCATGAGCTAAGAGAACATATCACTAGCTACTATAAATAGCTCTTTG